TAAGCAGGCTTCAGTGCACAACCGTTAATTACATTTAGTTCCCTAAATACATAACATTTGGAACCGTGATAGTGTTAACCAATTAAATGTTCAAAGTCGTGAAGTTATTACAAATTTATTCGGTATTTGAAGGAATCAAAAACATAATAAACAAACCGCAGTGTAAATGACATCAAACTAGAGTTGTTTGAATGCTTAACATTAGAGATTAGAGTTTAAGGTCCTGCCAAATGAACAGAACTGTGAGTATTGAAATTAAATTCTAAAATTATAGCCAATAAGATCCAAAACTCGAATTCTCTGATTCACATCCAACCCAAAATCATTCCAAAAAGTTCGTCAAAACCCACGCACCATAAATCATGAATCATTCTTTCCATAAGACCAAAAGAAAAACTCAAATAATAATACAACAAATAAATAAGCAAAAGAGGAAAGAAAAATAAGACAACAAAAATATTTACAATAGTGCAAATTTTCCCACGACATTTTTAGCTATATCCAAGAATGTATGAATCGATTTTTCATTTTAATATCCATCATTTAAACCCTCCGATCCGACAAATGTTTTTGTTCCTTTTCATTTCATCAAAAATATAAATACAACAAAATTTGAAATGAAATAAACAAAAATCATGGAAGGAAATGAATAAGAACTTTTTTGGTGCAATCACGAAGAAGCTTTTATTGAGGTTGGTGAAAGGATAAAGACGCATTTTGTGGAAAATTCGATTTTTGTTCGTGAATCCTAACCGTCATTTAAAATTTGAATTTAATTATTTCACCCAGAAAATTCAAATCTCTGATATCCGTTATATCTTTAAAAACTCCAAACTCATCTGAAGCAACTCAAAGTGGTCAGTAAGACCATCATTCCCACAAATCCAACAGCGTAACAACATGTAGCGAAATATTAATTCACCAATAAACCTAAAGATGCTTTTAAATCATGAAAATTATTGTCAGGCAATAAAAAATTGAGCTTTTCTTTCGTCCGCAGAATATATTGAACGAAAAATTCAAGGAATAAATTTATTGGCATTTTGGGAACGCTCCCATCTGCCGTGAATTGTTTATAGAAGAAGGAAGAAGAGAAATGGAAAGTTCACCATCAACTTCCATATTCTATAAACAGAATCTGCACAAAAAAAACAAAAAGGATACTTTCGATTACGAAAACGGATTAAAAAAGGTTTCTTATCAAATTTACCGCAGCTGGTCTCATCCAGTCCATTTCTAAAATAATGGTTTTTCCACTCCTCATTTGAAATGTATGTATAAAGTTTTTTGTTGTTGTTATTGTTGTTTTTTTCTCTTATGGGGAGGTGAATTGCTGAGAATGAGTTTGGTAATGAATGGTGATGGTGCCCAGGGAAAATAAAGAAAAAAGAAAAGAGTGACCCAATGAGAACGATAAATCATTTTTTGCTGCCATAATAAAAATGGGCACGTGAGAACGTAAAGGTGTTTGCCATAAATTCTCCTAAACGATATATACGAAAATTGTGTGTGTGTGTGTGTGTGTGTGTGTGCGGGCGGATGAAAAATATTTTCTATTTTTACGTGAAAATTGGAAACTTTTTCTATGGAAAAAATAAAGCAAAATTGTTTTTCATCATTTTTTATGTGTGTATTGGGAGGAAAGGAAAAGGAATAAGCTCATTTGGTAGATATGCCCAAAAAACTAAGATGCAAGTACGGAGTTTTCTGTTTTGAAGGCTACTTTTCGTTAGAGCGAATGTCTTAATTTTGTAGCTATAATAAGAAAAAAGTGAAAGATGTCAGCAGTCAAGGATGAAGACCTAATTTACCACAAACCCACAGAACCCTAATTATATCTACAGAATCGAATTTCAACCCTAATCAACCAAAATGATAGCAATTGAAGCACTCATAGCCTTTACATTTATAAAAAGTATCTTAGGAATTCAAGCTATTAGCCCTGTAGCATCAATAGCTTCCTCTCAATGATAACTATCTCAATGGAATCCATTTAGACATAAACATTAGCATTTAGTGAGCAAATGTATCAAAAAAGAAGAAACGAGAATGCTCTTTGTGATCAGAAAAATTAGATAAAATAAATATTTTTCACCTGCAACAGCACCAGAACCAAAAATTAAATTTTTCATCTGCATGTCGCAGTTTTACAGCAACAACAACAAAGATATTTGCTTCTAAAAAAAGAAATTACATGACAAATGTTTTTCGTCCCATTCCTATACATTGCACACCTCACATTGGACTAATATGCAATCATATTGGAAAGGTGAAAACAACTGCTGCCCTGCTCCATGCACACATTTCATTATTTTAATGATTATTCTATTGAAATTTTTACAAACAAACACATGCATGCATTCCGAATGATCGCTTTTTGTCTACGTATCAGCTGTCAAACGCATATTTGAGAGTAAGGCAAATACTGAAATACCCCGCAACTAACCAAACGATGAGGTTATACAAACCACACATAACCAGCTTGCCATTAGCTGCAAATGACTCACAATTGGAATTGAGCGTTTAATTATAACAATTAATATTATTTTTACATAAAGTTGTATAATCAGACGTGCCGTTCTGTTATATATGGAGTCTATTGGGGATGGTGATGCTTTAAAATAAAGGTAAAGGCAAAGGCACGTTGAGAGACATTGCACAATTACAATTGTGGATGAGCCATTTAATAATTTCTTTTTTTGTTCTATCAATGTCACTGAAAATCGAATATACCTGTTACATGATGATGAGCATCCCATAGAAAATTTTATATTATTTTTAGCCTCAATTGTATTTATCTAGATTGTGTGGGTGTGGGTGGTAGAATGGAAAATCGATGAGAAGCTATTTCCATTTTTGTATTGAAGAGTTTTTTTAAAAATATCAAGTAAAGAAGACTTTATCAATAGCACTTAAAATGGGGCATTTTTAGATGATTTTCGTCAATGGAATACAAAAAGGTGAACATGAGAAATTTCTGGGTTGGACACACGTGGGAGTCAACATATGGATATCCTTTCAATTTATTATTAAGTGTGTAAATTTGTAGAAAATTGTTTAAACGTCAATGAGTGGGATTTAACAGGCATTACTTTGGTGAATCCAGACTTGGATGCTTCTATAGAAACCAGAAGGCACTAAAAGTCCATCATGAATACTCACCTGCTCCTTTACTGACACGGTTAATGTCGATTGACAATTTTAAGGTGTGATGATATAATATTCAGCAACAATTGCCTAATTATCATATTTTTCACATCCATGACTTACTTTAATGAGTAATTGCAGTTCATAAATTTCGACTTAAGTACTAAGCACGTGAATATCATTAAACAATTTAGCCGGCAGCAATAAAATCGTCATAAAAAAATTCCATCTTGCAAAAAAAGCAGTTAAAAAAATTAGAGATGTCAATCAAGGAATGTCACAAAAATGCCCCGAACATAAATTATTGCACCTCTGTAAGGTGTGCTTAGGAACTAAGTATATAAATTATTTTCGTTCAGTTCAAGTGCAAGGTGCTGCAATTTATAATTTCAATAACATAATTTTGCCTTATCTTTACAGACTGCTTAATTTGTTTTTTATAGACTTATGCAATTGTTTCTTACGGATAATTATTGACAAAAAAAAGAGAACCTTCTTGAAATTTTTTTATTATTCATCATTCTTCCAATTCTCATTGCTTTTACAGCAGGCATCGACTTTTATCTCCACAATTTTTTTTAAGACATTATTCATGGCGATGATAAATTCACCTGTTAACAGCAGCACGCTCCAAAAATTATATATAATGATATTAAAAATACATACGTAACTTTTAATATACATAATATGCGTTTAAACTGCTGCGTTGACTGTGATGATTATGAGGAGGACTCATGCACAAAAGAACATCTTTTAATTAATTTCCGAAAAAAGACAAAAAGGCAGAAGATATGAAACAATTAAGGGGGATGCTGGATATGGGAATCTTGAGACGTTTATGGAAGGGAGATGAGTGACATAAGCATGATTCTTATGACTTAGGAGGGAAGGGGGGTCTGTAATGGACATCATTTCCTAAAAACCTTTCCTAATCTGTAAGAAGCTTACAAATCAGTGCATAGTTTGAAGACACAGCACCTAAAATTACCTTGAACCTATAATTGCTAATTACGAGTTGGTCAAGTCGTTCCTTTGCTTGCCAATCTCAATAATAAGCATCACAATTTTATTTATGCAGCCTTATGCAGGAATTTTCCACATAGTGCCCCCCTGATGAGCAGAAATATGAAATTTATACCCTAATAATTGAATGTATCAGGCATTAGGCAGGAAAATCAATAGCAGGTGACAAATTGTGACAATTATTGAAATATATAGACAATGAATAGCCGTAGCTCATAGTTCCTAATAATAAAAAAAGAAAGAGACTAAATTAAAAGTCAAAAAATTGTTGATAGAAATGCGACAACTGCATACGAATGCCGAATGTTTTGTTCTTCCCATTTTTATTCTGTTCAATTTCAAATTTTTTTTTTCACTCTCCTTCCTTTTTATTTTTAACCCGAACTGAGCAGCTGATTCCAAACATCATCACAAAGAATTCTTTTCAAACACATTTTATATATTTTCGCAGCTGATACAAATTTTTTCATACTGTATTATTTTGTGGCTGCATGCTTCTTCCCATTCCACATTTCTCTTTCTCTATCTCTCGACTGCCTGCCTGCTTTGCTTGTTTGGAGAGAGTCTCTCTTTTTATTCTTTTTGCGGCTGCCGCTTTCTGTTTCTTTTCAATCGTCACATTCCATTCTACAGCATAAATATTTATGCTATTTTTTTCATTACACACAGCAGTTCCAGAGAGAAAACCGTCGATTCCTCAAAACAGAGAGTAAAAAAATTATCTTTCTCTCTCGGCAGTTCCAACAGTTCATTCATGAAAATACACATTTTTTTTTTGATGAATGCGGCAAGATCTCAATTCTCTCCGGTACAGTTTGGTTAGGACATTCATTGTAATCGGTTGTATTTTCAAACGCTCACCGACAAATGAAACAACGTGCAGCACATTTAGTTTTTGGAAGGAAGTTGGACTCAGTTATCAATCTAATTTTTTAATTTTTTTTTTCTCGATTGTGATTTCATTCTGTCTTGAAGCTTGTTCGCGAGTGGAAGTGAAGCATAAATTTCTCCTCAATAAAAGTGAAAGTTCGATTCTGTGAGATTCTGATAAGGAATAGAAGTGACAAAAAAAAAATATATAAAATAATTAAAAAAAAATAAATATATTTTGAGTGAATTTTGGAACATAAAAAATTATAAATCGTGGATTTACGAAAATTGCACATTTTATCAACATTAATGGTAAGTGCTTTGGATGTCACAGTTGTTTTAAATTTCTGTTTTGCGACAAAAAGAAACTTTTGTTTGCCATCATTCGGATGAAAATTTTTCACATTTTTTGCAAATGTCAATTTTTAGCCTCGAAGGCACATTGTAACATTTAAGCAAGATTGAACACCACCGGGGCTAAATGACACAAACTTTTTTTTTTGGTACTCTTGGAGATGGAGGGACTCCACGGCAAAAAAAAATAAAATAAAATTTATTTGCTTTTTTGATTGAATTCACAGCAATAATTTTTTTCCTCATCTCACTTGCTCGCAGATGGAATCGCAAAGGATATACCCGTAAACAAATGTTACCCCCCACATTCTGCGCCTTTAGATTTCCTTGCCTTCCTTTTTATTCGTGAAGCGGACAACGCCGCAGTGTACGACGACATAGAAATTTTCTTTCATTTCTTGTATGTGCCCTCGAGAGAAATATTTTTTATGATGCACAAGTGTTCACTTTCCCATCTCACATTTCCTTTTTTTAGCGATGAATCCTAACTTGATAATTTCTGAGGAATCACCATTCACTTTGTCTTTTGTAAGATTTCACACAATCTATGAGAAGTGCGTAAGAATTTGAGTCTATAAATTGATCTAATAAGCATGATCTCGCAGGTGTCTGGAACCTTCATCCTTACAAAATGCAAATTTCTCGAAGTAATTCCAAAACGATCTCTGAGAATGTAATTTTGAATAACAAAAGGAAATACAAGCCTGCATTCCTCATAAATTATCTACCTGACACCTGTACAGAGAATTAAATTCATGACTGATCACTTTACTATGGGAATATCATTCAAGGACGAATAGTACAAAACAGGTACACAACCCGTAAAATTGAAGCTTTTGTTCCTTTTGTTTTGTGCTTCGTTGAACAGGTTTTAAAGTTCATTTTTCATTATTTCGAAGTTTTTTGTTTGGGAATTGAATTAGCTGCAGATAAATCTGTGCTGATTAAATTTATAATGAAGTTATAGATTCTTAAAATGGTTCTCTGCTGTTCATTGGACTTTTAGAGGTTCTGGTGAATTTTATTTTCAGTCATATACAGTAAGAATGAATTAATCCTTTAATAACTCAAACAAGTAATAATTACTGTAATTGCTCAGTCATTGCCTGTATACACTATTTAATAGTTAATGTAATAACTTCATAGGAAGTTGATTTACTTTCTTGGGAAGTAATTACTCCATAATTTCTTGGTGGTGTGAATTAATCACAGATAACAAGCTGATTTAATTATAAAAATCACAGCTGATCACATAAGATTCCATTGATTATGAAACGGAAGCTAGATCTATGATAATAACAGTTAATCAGTGATAAAATAAGCCAGCGGATGTAATAATCAACAGAAACTTTATTTAAACACAGCACTGGTTTAGATAATCAAGTCTAAACTCAAATACTCAATAACATGCGCTTCCAAACTTAGGAAACAGCATTTTCCAATCAATGTTATTCTTACTCCCTTGTGCCTTTCTCACAGCACTCGTGTATGTAAAGACGGAAAATCATGAAACATATTTTTTTATTATAAATTTATGCAAAAACCTCGCAACTTAAAGAAGAAGGCAAAAGAAAAGGAAAAAGAATCTTTTTTCATTTTTATTAAATGTCGTAATTTTTATGTTTTCCTGATAAAATGCGATTTCGGTGGCAGTTGAATGTTCCGTTGTGGCCGCAATTTGTAATGATAGAAGGGAAATTGAATTCCAAACTTATCCATTATAGAACAAATTATCCGACCTGATGCTGATAAAGGAATAAATGAGGGAGGGTTCAGGAGAACTTATAATTTAATACTTACAATGATTTTCCTACTTAAACATACTTTTTTTTTACTTTGTTTGAAAAATGAATTTAAAGTAGAAAAAAATGAAAATTATGAGTAATCGAGTCATTAATTAAGACAGATGAGAGGTGCGATGGAGAGAAAGAGAAGGCGGAATGGTTGACTGTTGAGGATAAAAGATGTGAAGGGAAGGAAGAACGACAAAGGAAAAAGCAGAAGTTTGTTACAAAATGCATAATTACTTTATGTCATTTTATTCATGAGACATCTGATGTTACAAGGCATTTGCCAACATGTCTTACTTTGCCATAACTCCCACCAGAATGGAGTACAAACACATAACACACAACAAGACACATAACAATGATGCATTGGATATTTGCTTTGCTATGGATTTGTGTTTTAGTTGCACCTGCGGCACGACACAGTTTTATTTTTATTCCATTATTTTTTATCTTCCATTCCTTACTTACTTGCACATATCCTTACTGTTTGCAATTCAGTTGAGCTGTAAATACAGACAATTTTTTAGCACACTTTACGAGATGTGTCATTATATTGTAGTTGGGAGTGTTGTTAGTTGAGATTTGAGAAGTTAATTGCTGCTAATCTGAAGCTTACATGAATCATTAGAAGATTGTGGTCTAAATTGACAATTAAAATTCTAACGGATGTCCAAAACTCAAACATTTCTGCATCAATTGACGCGAAAATATCAAAAACTGCGCTCAACGGATTTCATTTAAATCCCTTCTCAACTGTGCACTGATTTTCATACACACCGAGTTATATACAAAATCCTTTCACTCGACACTTGTGCTCATATCCAAAAGAGAGTGTATGTTTGTAATATAAAAGTATGCAATAGAGAGATAAAATATTTCTAAACGAATTGCTTGCATTTTATAAAGCAATCAGAGCTATTTTCAAGCCACAAGTGTTATGTTGCAAGATTATACATTCTCATTCCTATTTTATTTTTTTTTTCTCATGTAATAAAAGCGAAAGAGAGACAGAAAGAAAGAATAAGGGATAGGGAAAGTAAAAGGGTGATGTTAAGCCTTTTTCTCTCGATGTCTATCTATCTATCTATTAAAAACTTTGAACAGCAGCAAATAATAGGAAGGGATTTCTCCTTCCGATATCAGGACCCAACAGATAAAAAATAACTTTTGTTTTCGTTGTCTAAGTTGAGAGAACAGCAGCAGCAGCAGTATTAAAAAAAAAGTCAAAAGCAAATACATCCTAATACTCTGAGCAGCAGCAAGGAGAATCAGAATGAGAGACACATTTGGCAAAGGATTAGCAATAAACAAATTCAGGGAAAATTTTAATCCCTTTCCTTCATCAACCGAGCTGTGCAGAGCTTCTGTTGTGTGACTACCGATTAAGTTTAACATCAGCAGCAGCAGCAAAGCAATAGAAGCAGCATCAGCTACACATACATACTGCAGCACCATAAATTCCGTAATTTATCATAATTTTCATTATTGCGGCGGCATCTGGTATATCTGGCAAAAGCGATTAAAATTTTTGCGAAAAGCCATTCTGCCGATGGAATTTTTCTTCTCATTCTCTCGCTCTCCTTTTCCTTCTTTTTGTAGTTTTACTACAACTTGCTATGGTGGTTGGTTAAGTGAGAAGAATTTTTCCCAAAAAAAAAAAAAAAACTGCAAACGACAAGAACATGTGCTGCTGCTTTCCTGCACCAGAACAAAAAAAAAAGTTTTGAGAAAATTTATACATTGGTAAAAAAAAGAGAGAGAAAGAGATCGTTTAGGAAAAGTGCAATTAAATGCATTCGGTGCTTTTTTGTGTGCCACACATGTGTGTACATATATATACACTTGCCGAGTGTTTATGTCGGTGCTCATTAATTTCTTTTTTGCACAACCAAAAAAAAAAATTTTTGCTGCTGCTTCTGCTCTAAAAAAACAAGAAATAGTCAGAGAAACTAGGAAAAAGAGAAAGAGGGATACAAAATGTGTGTGTGTGTGTGTGCGGTACCATCATGCAGTGTGAAAATTTCACATTTCGGGGTTTCGACATTAAATTTTATAGCTAAGCACATGTGCTGGTTGGTATCACATAAAAGATTTTTTTTTTTATTTTGAGAAAAACTTTTTCCAAACTGTCGCAATATTCTCATGCCATGCCAATGCCAATGCATGGATCGATATAGTGGATAAAATCATAAAAATTTTTTTTTGCTTGCTCTAAGTGCATGCAGCATTTGGGGACATGAACTCGAATAATAAAAAAAAAGCAGCACAAGATTTCACACAATCGTTAATTGAGTCAAAAGGAGGAATTTATGTGTGTATCGCTGGAAAGAGTGGAACCGAGAGAAGAGAAAAAAAAAGTCTTGGGTTTAATTCGATGAAATTATTTCATGATGCTGGTTGTGCTTCATTTGATGAGCTAAAACTAACATTCACTTTATAAGAAATGGAAATGAAAGAAGACATTATGCTGGGTGACCCTCATTCTATACTCTACATTGCCGCATGATATGCTGTACAGATAATTAGCTGTGGAATGTAGACATGAAAATTGCTAACATTTTGAATGATGATGATAATTATGTGAACGGGGCGAACGAAACAAGATTAGGACTTATTGGATTGAATTGTGATGGTGTGGGAAGCGCATTACAGGGATGTGCACTGAGGGGTTTTGAGGATCAGTCGACAATTTTTAGATTTTTGTGTTGATTAATGGTAAACTTGGAATTTTCAAAATAAATTAATCCCTTGCTTTTTGTGGGTTACGCCTCATTCCCATTTTCCAAAAAATAATTCTACCTTCTGCAGTCGCTGATAATTTGCGGTATGCTTGACGTTTGCAATTAGAAATCTAATTATAACCTTAGTTCACAAAATGTCCGATAAAATCTTTCAATTATTTAAGGGGCATTTCATCAGTTCCCTCATATTATGCTCTTTAAAATCCACAGACAGCCTTGAAGTTAACATTTAAAATTCGTGACAAAACCTCACGACAAAATGACAGGCAAATATTTCACACAAATAAAGTATGTAGCAGCTTCCATCTCACTTTAAATTTGCATCAATCAATTATCATCATCATGACATGTCTGCAGAATATCTATAGACAACTAAATGAAATGTTTACGAATAAAAGAAGAAAGAAAGGAAAAAAAAAATCGGCAA